TTTCATTCATTGGAAAGGATTGGCACTAAAAATAAGAAATAATATTCTTAGCAATTTTAGGTTTGTATACAAATATAATTTTGATAAACATGATCAATACTTAATTCCAGCTTCAATCTCTTATACATTTCTTGGCTCATCTACTGTTTCAATGATGATGAAGATGATCTAAGCAATTTTTCAGATTGCCAATAAGGCAACACAGAACATGTACTGTAAGCAAAAAATAATTATTAGACATATTGTTGTTATTCTACACTAAAACTAAAACTTGAAATTTTCTATAAAAACTAAAATTTAAATACTAAAAAGTAAAAATGTATCAATTCTCGGGAATTACATGTGCTAAAATACAATCACAAAGAACAAAATAGAATACAAGTAAATGTCAAAACTCTATTAAAATAAATGAGACCAAGCATTGCAATAGAATTTCCATGAATGGTTCAATTTGATCCTGCATGCTATTTCTGCGTGAAAAGTTCCATAATAGGCCAGACTTGTTTACCTGTGGTTTGAGACCTTGTAATTTTAAGCCCTACTTGAGAAAAACTAGGCCATGTCAAAATCCGGTTCTTATAGAGTTTATAAATACTGTACTCCCAGTATTTTCATCTGCGATTTAATATCGTACAATTCACGATGGTGGTAAAATCGTGAAAATTGCTACAAATACCCGGGGCAATATAAAATTAGGTCGACATGATTATTAAGTGTTTTGTCACCCTAATTTCTTTTTTGGTAATTCTTAAGGAAGAAAACATAATTCACTGTAAATGAGAAAGTATTGTTTAAATATGGGTAATCCTTTATCACTCAAACAGTTTATGAAAGTAATTTTTAAAATATTTTTTGACTAACAAGGAACCTAGGCGCCAAGCTTAACATGTGGTAAGGTTATATTGGAAGTATAGTTAAAGATCTGAATTGATTATTTTGTTGGTTTAGTTGTGTTATATAAGATTTTCTTGTTGACACAATGCATCTAGGGTAACTATTCAAATAAACTCAACTGTGAAATATGTATTGTACTTTTAAATTGGACTAGCTTATATTTGAGCTGCATGTACAGATCCGCTTTTGGTTCAAGCCAAGAGGTGAATACACTCGATCCATGCCAGCCAACCTTCTTTCTCTTAGAAGGAAAATACGTTCTTTCCAGAGAAACATCCCAATAATTGCAGTAAAAGTAGCTTGATAAACATTTAGGAGTTGAAAACCTAAAAGAACCTTGTTAACTGTCTTAATCATATCAAAAATCCAAAATTAAAATTCAAAATTACAAAATAAACATCTTAAAAAGAACCTGTCATCATATCTTTGAAACTTATTACACGCAGAAGAATGTTTGAAATCTTCTGAAAAGAATGTGTTAATTACCTTTAGAATTTTAGAGTACCGACATGTTCTTTGAGATGATTGTGAAATTGTGAAATTTTATTAAACTTATATGGTTGATATGAGTTGTACTCATTTTTAAATATACGATTGTTTCATCTTATCTTCATGAAATGACAACAAACACGACCTTCATTGAGTTAATTGCAGAGTTGAAATGTAGAAAATTATCTGTTCTGATATTGCAGTCTGGTAGTTTAAACTGTAAAATGGATAAATAGACATGATTATACAGATGCAATATATGAAATATCACATTATCGGATTTCTAGTTGCGAATGGAATTTAATTAGAATCATTGTGTGAGCCCCAGCTAAAAGCCATGATAGCTAATGCTATAGAATTATCTATATCAATTTATTACAGAGATCTGTTATAATTGATTGATCTAACTTGGTCAAGGATACCTCGCTCATTCCGTATCATACTCATGTATAATCTGAGAGATCATAACCTTCCCATCAATTTCCTTCTAGAAGCATTCTTTTGCAAGAAAGAGATGGTCTGAGTATCAGAATGCTCTTCTATGGATATAGGGATATCAACCAATGAGTTCATCCATTCATAACTCTTAAGTACGCATATTTTTAAGAAAACATCATAACTAGATGTATGCAAATTGCAAAGAGACAACATTAGGCAGCAAAGAAATGTTGAAAATCATTTATCGAGGACTTCATCAAAATATGATTTCGAACATTTTTAAATTGATATGAACAATTCTTCAAAAAATCTTGCCAACGTTTTCCTTTCAAACCTAATTTTGTTTTCTGAAAAGAGATTTGAGATATCTGATCTGATAAAGAGTTATTTAAGGTTTAATTGAGAAACTAAAATTGACCTAATTTATTATAATTGAAAGTGACATTCCCTTTTACAAGTTTTTTGTACATTTATTCTATAAATTCAAGGTCAGTACTTAACAAGTTGCTCCTTCATTATGCAAAACTGTGGTATTTCCCTCACTTGTCAGTTCTTTTTTGCCACGTGCCTATAGCGTGATTCAATATGTTTCTTTTGTTCAAATATCAATGAAATGATACACTGGTATATAAATTCAATACGTGATATAATGTCCCAGCTTCAGTCATACGGTTGTTAAGCCGAAGTGTCTCATTTATAAATTAAAAATTGTTGGTATTTGAATAGCGAATTACTACAATATAGTGGTATAATTTTGCACAGCTGCATGTATATTTTTGTTGCCTGGATTCTACCTAGGAATAACGTTCATAAATTATTTTACACTTGAAATTTTAAGTTTCATGCTGATAGTGTGGGGACTAAAATTAGAAGAAAGCTTTGGAGACAACCCAGGGATCTCCCTAACCTGAAATCATTTGCAGGATATAGTGCCTCTGATTAATTCATAACTACCAGATCTGCCTCTAATAAATTAGTTAAGCAATGTTGCACTAAAACTGTAAACTCAGTCAAGATAAAAATCCTCATAAATTATTACGCTGGTATATATTTAAAGTACACACACATACAGCGAGTGATCTCTGGGTCATCTATCACCACTTGCTGCATCCATAGAAAGTCTGAAAACTGCATGCTACCCTCTTGAAAATCTGCAAAATTTCATGCCAAATCTGTTTATTCCATGTCAAAAGAATTAAGTAGATTTGCTAAAGCAAGTAGAATTAAGATTAGCATCCTGTTGCGATAAAAAATCTGGTAAAGCTCACAGTAGGCCGGTATTGGGTGAGTACATGTAGGGTATGTTAGATAATAAGTTAGGTTTATGTAATGTTGATGATAGTAGGAGCAGCATGAGATTGAGATGAGACTTTTTGTACTGAAATCCAACTGTCTTCAAAAAAATGTAAAATACTGACAATATGAAAATGTTCACATTGCATACTTTTCCAGAACTTTGCACAAGTTTAACTAGGCATATTTTTGAAATAGGATATGATGAATTAGTGAAAACTGGAAACCAGGCTGACGGTTTGACCTCATAAATCAGCTTGAGGGCTGCATCTAGATCTAGGTTAGTTAATAGAAGTCATAAACTATAGCCATGATAGACTGCAAGTATGAGAACAAATAGGTGAAATTATCAATCGCAATGGAGACTAGACAGCTTTGCACATTAATTAAGAGAAGAATGCATTTTCAACATGAGAACCGCATGCAATAAACGTAAAGACATAAAAAGAGGTCCATGATAAGTTTTTCCTGAGACAATTTACGTTGATGAGTACAAAAAGTTAAAATCAATGTTAGGTAATACAGTACTGTGTATTACATGTACTTAATACTTATATGATATTATATATAAATGTGCATGCTGGTTATTAACCTTGAAAGTCACCGGCAAGGTTATGTATAATTCATATGGCATGATGTTGTGACCCTGGATGTCAAGCAGCTGTTTTTCATATATTATATGTAGCATCATTTGGCTATTCATTGCCATTTTAGTTGCTAGAGCTAGTACAGTCAGAACGAAGGTCTGTTAATTTTCAGTTTAATTCAAATTTACAACTTGGAAACCACAAACCACAAAGTCCAGGGTATAAGATATAAATGTGGTAAGTTAGAACATCATATGTAACTTTGGGCAGTATGTTGAGACAGACATATGTAAACAAGCGCCATTGAATATATAATTGCCAGATTGATTTGAATAAAGGTATAAAGCTTATGGCCAAGTTTATATTGTTGTACTTTAGTGCAGGTGTCACTCGATGAAAAACTGGGCCTTTGTACAATAAAGATAACACATTGAAGGTCACTGAATTTAGAATTTAGTGGTCTTCTATTTCATTACAATTTTGGGAACAGTCAACAATAATATAGAGTTTGTCGCAAGAAAGGAGATGCGAAAGAGTATTAGTGAATTTTGAATCCTGGATTAAATTTTCATTTATGAGATATATTATAGTGATATCATATACCACAACACATGTTTATTAAATTAACTGACATCATTACGAAAAGTACTGATTAATAAAGGTAGGATTTCAATAACATTTTGATAACAAGGTTATTTTGGATTTCTTTGCTAAATTAAGCTACAATGATTTATCGAAGAATATACAAACATATTATTGCAGATAACAAACTTTTGGATATTTAAATAGTTTTTTTTGTTTGATATGGGAGTGGCTGAAATCATGAAGATACCAATTTCAATGATTTTTCTCATATTTTTTAGTGGGTGTAAGCTTATTTTCAAATAAAAATTAATTATGTTATGTTAAGAATTCATATGTAGCCTCCAGAAAAATTCTCGCCCACAACCAAACAAGAACGAAATGCATTGACATTCTTGAATGTGACAAGATACAACCCTAGAAAAGCAATAATGTTTGACATTTATTGCGAAGCTTCTAATGACACTGATAAACGTCATCTCTATATATAGTGTCATTGCCACATAGACTTGCGTTGATCCGGCTGATGATAAAGTGCTTTCAAAATCGATATTGCATATTTGAAATATTTTTACAGTGATATATGTGAGTTTAGGTACTTTATTTGTTTCAATTCATTAATGACCTCCTGGTATTGATTTTGCATGATTGATGACTTTGTGTATATTTCAGTTTTCAGTGCATATGGAATTAAATATGTTATTTTGATTGTTTCAGAGATGTAGAGCGAGTAGGGCGTCTAAGTACGCTGGTGACAGTATAAGCAGATGGAAAAAAATAACAAAGGCTGCTACAAGTTATGAACTGGAATCAAATGCTTCAAACAATGAGCTACCACCTTCGGGGAGCGAAGAAAAATAAAATCCACACCACCGAGGGGCCGGACATGGGAGCTGCATTTAGAAAGTCAGGGTGGAATGCGAAAAAACCAAGAACTGAACCTGCCCATAATGGTCCAATCATATGGGACCCTAAAAACACTTTGCCAGGATCGTTAAGGGTAAAACCAAAACAAAAACTTTCCACCAAGTCAAAAAAATCACAATCCAAAGTGAAAAAAAATGGACACAGAAAAATAAAATCTGAAGAGGTGTTCCCTTTCTCACAGTTGCCTAGCAACTGCAAATTGAAAATCTTGTCTTATTTGGGGGAGAGTGATCGCGGTGCTGCAGGTCAAGTGTGCCGGGAATGGAACATTTTGATCAAGTCATCAGGGATATGGGACACTATTAACTTCACCACATTCCCTTTGTGCACAAACCCAGGGAAGACGCATGAATGTTCGCATGAATGCTACCAAAAATATATGACACGGGTGAAAAACTACATGACGTACTTAGGTTATATCCAGCCAGCCATGAAAAAATTGCAGTTTGACTTTGACATTGGAGACAAAGAGGATGGGTGGCTAACTTGCCTAGAGCGGTTCCTGATGAACTGTCAAGGAGATAAACTCCTGTATGCCCGTATGAATTGGAAGGAAACACCGGTGAAGCCGTTTTGTGTAGATGGGTTTGCATGGAGCTCTAGGGAGTACAATGAAATGGTACATAGACATCGCCACCGTCAACGAGATTTCATTCAGTTTCTCGAACTATTCGTCAATGTTGCTCCCAATGTAAAGCAATTAATGGTGCCTTTTGATTGGTCGTTCAGGTCAATTTACTTGCTGAGTAAGTTGCATCAGCTCGAGACATTAATCCTTGAAAGATACTTTGTCTTCCACACTCTAAATCAAAATGCATTAGATGAACTGTTGCGGGTAATGCCAAAAGTGCGAAAGCTTGTACTGGAAGTTTGGTGTCCTTCTGGGAGAGGACTAGAGCTCTATCGTATGAGCTCTAACTCGATTGAAACCTTGGACATTTCGCAATCTCGAGGTTTCTACCTGAAAAGTGTCAACCTTCCAAATATGGTATCGTTTAGGGCGACACGTCACCCATGGAATGGACCTCTTGTTTCACCTGAACACATCAATCTCCCATGTTTGTATAAGGTGCTTGTTCAGGGCGCCCCAAAACTCCGACAATTCAATGATCTCATCCTAACTGAAGATTGGCGGCAGTCTTCCTGCCCAAAACTGGAAGAACTTTTAAAAACTGTGTGTTCTTGCAGAAACCACAAGCAAGGTTGGTCTATGTAAATTTAGAAACTTAAACTTGTATTTTGAATAAATATGTTACAATGTGATCTAAATGAACAAGTTTATTCAAAATACATTGGTTTGGTTTGGTTTGAGTATTTGCTAACAGTATGGTGATAATAACTTAAACATGTGTACTTAATTCTGCGTACTATTCTCATGCCCATATTGCATGCCTTTACTCTTAAAATAGCATGGAAAAGAATCATCAATGATGAAAACATAAACATGTACATTAAAGGGACATTCCTTGTGAGCCCATTTCTGTCTTGATATGGTTGTTTTAATCAAAAAGGTAGCAATGGGCTTGCAAGGATGCTCTTTAAAGTCAAAACTCATATTTAGAAACTCCTGCATTTGTAAATCAAGGACTGGTTATTGATGTGCCTAGAGTGTAATCACACGTATCCAACTGATTTTGTAACAGATGACCAACTTATCTCAATTCTTGTTTCTTTACATATAAATGACTATTACGGCTTATGACTAATCACATCTTTGGCTCAGATTTGATTTATGTATTTTTGGCTTGGCTAAGATTTTGTACATACGTGACAGTATTCAAGTAATGTTATTGATTATTTGAGCCAGTAGTACCTCGAGAACTGAAAAATGCACAGAATTCATAATCAGGGTTTCATCAACTTTTTAAGTACATGTATCATTATATCATGCATTGTGTGTTTTGGAAATCATGAAGGTTATGCCATTCAGAATATTCTAGTTTCATGCCAGTTCTGAAGACTGATATCAGAAAAAGTTTCTATTTCCCGTTTTCTGGCCTCTTTAAATGTTGATAACAACTATTAAAAAATACAGGGTGTCCATAAGGGGCGGGGTCAAAATATCGATGTTCATATGGAGACGAAAGTACTTTCGCGAGGGGGGAGGGGGTTTTTGGGCACTTTCGTTGACCAAAAAAACATCGATAATTCGGATCTGATATACAAAAAATAATTGCCCCGGACTTACCCACTTTTTCTGGCGCTATGTTCTGATAAAAAGGCTTGTTTTCAATAGTTCGTGAGCTTTTTTGTGTGATAAGTCCAAAATATCGGTAGATAAAGACGATAATTCGATCATTTTTCAAATAAATTCCGTACTTTTCCCTCCTCCTTTTGAAGAGTTCAATGCAGTTAAATTGCGAACGTGTGTTAATTCACCGTAATAATAACCCGTCAAATATGATACGATTATGCCTCTCATTTCACTTTTCGATTTGACTTTTCTATCAGGTAATAGTCACTGAAAATCAATGTTTTTTTTGAAGTGACCTAAGCTTTCGTCTAGAGGGGGGGTGGGGGGGTTGTTGTCCAAACGAAATTACTTTCGTCTCCATATGAACATTGATATTTTGACCCCGCCCCTAATGTCTTTTTACAATGATGATACAAAGTCTGTGTAAAGTGTAAATAGACTATGGACACCCTGTATTATCATTATTTGGATTCCTCTATTCAATAGTTTGTTCAGTAAATTAAATACAATTACAAACTTTATCTGTCTCACATCACGGTCATTTTATAATTGAATCTTGCTGACAGATGATGAGCCTGCATTAATTATGTTAGGCCTTTAAAGTACACTTGATCCACTATGTACTAAAGATGGCTTTCTAAAGTTCAGGGACTCGGCAATGTGTTTGTGCAGTGATGCTCAGACCATCTTTTGCTCAGTCGCTTGGCCTTCAGTCTGACTGATGGGAGTCGAGTGAGCGAAGAGGTGCCCAGACCCCTTAATCATGTGTTATATGTTAAGAAACAATGTTGTATCCAGTCAATAGAAAACCTCTATCTTTACTTTAAGTATACTGCCAACATTAATTATTCTATGACAAGTAGGTTAAATATTATGCAAGGTCAGTAGTTTCTAATGTGAGACATTATTATGTAAGGCCAGTATGTTTCTTAAATGAATTGGACATGAAACCACATAGTTAATGCTTAAAATACTGAAATTTGATTCAATTCAATTCTTATTTAGAGAGGAACTCCTAAAATTAACATGAATGTGAAATTTCAAGGCCATGAGATATACATTATTGCATATAGCTGGTGCCTTGTTTTATTTCATTTTATTTCAATCCAAAGTACCAAGCATGTTTTGTGGTTTCACTTTTCCATTCCTTTTCACTCTAAGCAAAAGACAAACACACCTCATATTTTCATACAATTTTGAGTGTCAACCTGTTCCTGAATGGCTACTTCTTTTCTAAAAATAAAAGGTTGTTTTGACATTTTACAATAAGCTTTGACAGGAGACCTATATTTACTCTTATTTTGTAACTAACTTGAATGGAGGGGTTAAAAATACAGTGTATTCCTTCAGTCATGTAATACGTTGATGGATCAAGATCGGTGTCAAAGGGTTACCTAGATTTTACTTTCAAAAGAAACCCTGAACACGTGAATTACCATCAGTGTGTTTTTATGATATGCATTATTAACGCTGGTCCTTGTAAGGTTTTCATTCTTGAAATATGATATTTTTGTCAGCATGTTGTGAACTTTGTGGAATTTTCCTTGGTGGATAGGATATTAAATTATTAATAATAATATTATTTAATCATCAATAAAAAAAATGCTCTTTAACATGCACTATTGCACTTACATGTGGCCTGCCAATTATTTTTTTATGAGTTCTGCCAAATATTATTTTATTTGAGAGTTAAACAAATTTGCGATATAAAGTTGATGAATCCTGATTCAATATGTAATAATTGTGATATTATAGGGTATTATTGTATATATAGTTCTAGCCTTGCTTACAGTGCTAGCTACATTATACTGTTAAATGGCACAACTTATGTACAAAATAGCACCATGATTGTGCTATTTGATTGTGCTAAAAAAGATTAGTCACAAATGTGCATTTGTATTTTCCTACGTGTATTTTATCCACATACCCGGTAACATATAGGCAATATTATATTTGTATACTATGTTTTTAATGAGATAAACAATCGTACAGTTCAATGTATGATAACTTAAGATATATGTATGTTTTGTATTTTGCGAATAATATGGCAGGGAATTGTAGAGCTGTATAAAGAGACAGTCATGTAATAACTTACCATGTAGGAGGTACATCATGCATGTTTTTACACCCTACATGTGCATAGCATTCACGTTAATGTAATACGGGTGTACCTTTAGTTATGGCATGCTTGTAGTCCCGCATTCAGACGCTGACCCCAATCAACTCATGCAACAAGAGAAGATAGGGGAGCTGTAGAGTCTTAATGCAAGATTATAGCATGTACGTGCACCCCAAAGTTCGTCAAACCTTGCACCAGAATGTCAAGAAAATATGTATATTAGCAGCATACAAGTATTATGCCATGTATCGGTATACCAAGTATGCCTTGAGGGTGATATAAATTGATTTTAGGCAATTTGCAAAATTCTATTTTGTTTATTTAGAACTGTCCAGCAGTTTAGATATATATTATATATAAATCATTATATACTGTAAGTACTATATATATAACATAATTCTGTACCACTTCAGTTGGTATTCATCTTTGGAATAAAAATACTGTTAAAACTTAGATTGATGCAGTGAAAATTGTATAGTGTCAAGATATAGCCTTTTTAAATAGGTGAGCGATTTTTCAGAATTTTGTTCATCATCAATCCTAATTTTCACAGCATTTTTATTTGCAAGTTTATATTTTAGATATGTTAGATTTGTGCAGTTCGTGTACTGACCTCATTTACTGACATATCATTTATAATTGAAAATGACATTTTAGTTGTATTTCAATAAGTCATATGCTTATAAATGTTAAACATTTAATTAGAAAATAGATTTTCTATTTTTAAAGTTAGGTTGCACAGAAATAATTGATATAATTTTGATTAAAATTGATTTTCTTTTTATCAGATAATGAAAGTATGCATGATAAATTGATATAAAATGTGGATTAAAAGATTTATTTTATCACAAAAAATGTGTTTTATTTCCATCAGTTGTATTATGAATATAGGGAAGTACAAATATCTCTCTTTTGCCTGCCAAAGTTTATTATTTGAAAAAGCCAAATATTTGAAGATAGACAGGCAGATGCTCAAGTTTCAAATCGTAGCATTTTCCCGCTCTTAACTGAGAAGATAGACATGCAACTTCTTAAACATTTCCCCGCTCTTAACTGCACATAGGGGGTGATGGTATTATATATAAGAGCGGGGAATATGCTTGAAGAGTTGACAAATTGAAGTTGATGAGTGAAATGATATTACTGTATAATTGCTGATTAATCTGAGAAGATTATTTTCCATAACTCACATTTGAAATTTTGAATTTGCTGAAAATTATGAAAAATAAGGCAATAGGCATGCAAATTGCCAAAATTACCAAATATTAAGTACCAAATATAAAGTACCAAAAATACCAGAATTTGAGGCATTTCAGAATTTCAATTGAATTTGGATGTACATGTGTCAACCTTGAGAATGTGCCTTCTCAGTGAAGTTAAGCATCACATTTTAAAGGGTCTTGTCTATTATAAAAATTATTTTTACAAATGCAAGACCCTTTAAATTGCTTTGAAGGTAGAATCAGTGCAGGTTGATTAAGTATCCGATATGTATTTCACATTGTAGTTATCAACTGATTAACAATTCAATAAATCTTGTACCAGGTGAAGCAAATGATTTTGTTTGTTGTTGAATAGTTTCACTGATATTGACCCATTCCCCATTGATTAAATCAAGGACATCCTTGATTTAATATAAAATAGGATGGAAAGAAAGCAATTCAATTCATTGAAAAATGTCATGGATCATTGATTTTCTGCCCTATTATCCCTAAACCTCAATAGCTGCTACCAGTTTAATAGTTTGATTTAATTTCCTAATAAAATGGAGCTTTATCTCATTTGGACTAACCTCTAGTCTGTTGTTCAGGGTATCCAGAACAACACTTGCTATCAGTCAAAAAATCATATACAGTGAAACCTGGAAAGTGGAACACTTTTTAGACTTAAATGAACCTCTATAAGTAGAACACCTCCCAAGTGGAACACTTCAGAAGCACCAAATGTATTCCACTTAGACAGGTTTTACTGTACATGTATATAAATTCTCCAGTCTTGAGCACAATGGTAAATCATAGAATTGACCACCAGTTAAATAACGGCTAACACCCAGATAAGGATTCTGCCTCATTTTATCTTTGTACAGAATGTATTGGCAATCCTTGAAAGTCATCAGTGTTAATAGTGCTTTTTCTGTCACCATGAAGAAGTGGTAACATATTATAGAGCCACTTTTTGTGATGAATGTTCACCTCAATGTATTTACTGATTAGCACCAGGTGGTGACATGTCATGTTAATAATGTCTTGTATAAGAATCAGAGAAATTAAAAAGGAAT